GAAGGTACTGTTCACGATTGCCGGCGTGCTGGGCGGTGTGGCTCTGTTGTCTTCCCTGTTGATGCTGTGGGTGGCGCTCAACTCGCACAACCCGGAAGGAGTCTGGGCGAAGGCGGGTCTGGCGGGGCTTACCTACGGACAGATCACGTCGATGGTGTACTTGAAGGTATCGATCTCTGATTTCTTGACGCTCTTCTCTTCTCGCTCTGGGGGTGGTTTCTTCTGGACAAATAAGCCGTCTGGAATCTTGCTGGTGGCTGCGGGTATTGCCTGCTCGCTGTCGACGATCATGGCGAACGCGTGGCCGGAGTCCAGGCCTGATGGCGTGCCTACGATTGGCCTGGCTCGCGTGGCCCCCAAGGAACTGTCTCTGTACGTCTGGATCTACTGCTTGCTGTGCTGGTTCATCCAGGACGCCGCCAAGGTGGGCGCTTACGCCCTTCTGAAGAGGAACAATATCTTCGGGATCAACGATGTCGTTGCGATGAAGAAGGCTGACCCCTCCACGGCAGTTTAAAGAAGAGATTTAGGCGAATCAGGTAAAGTCTCGTCTCGATTTATATATACGTACCCCTACAATACTTTCTTTGAATTAGAGGCGGTGCCCGATCTGGAAGGGGAAACAGTAATATACGCGACGGAGATGGACTTTTGAGCAAGCATAAAGTGCGATATGAGGGTATAGATATTAAACCAACGATATTTACACGGATAGGAGCTGAAGTAGTAATATGTGTATGGAAAAGATAGGAAGAATTTTGGAGAACACAGAGGGCTTCAGGGTGCTATCGATAATAGAGCCGAAAGGAATGAAACGACGGTCCGTACTCCTTTGACACCCTTTCAAAATATACGAGGGCTGCAGGTCCACAGAACTCTAGGATTCGAAAGCAGAATTGAATGGGAACTCAGAAGTTGAGTCGTATGTGGCGAAATGGCGAGGTGCGCGACTACCAGGCGCAAAAGGAATCAAAACTTGATGGAACTCAGGAGTGCACCCACGCGACCGACGCGAAGATGCAATTTTGCCATTTGTTTCTTACTTTGTGGCGTACTTTTGTCAATCACAGCGTTTCTTGTAGGGCTTTTACGAGTCCCACAGTGTCTTCAAGTAGACCCAGAGGTTCACTTAGATCCGGGGGGGCACGGCCCGAGGCCAAGGCGGTCACTTGCTGCTTGTCGAGGGAGTTGAAAAAGATGACTCGGTTGGAAAAGGCGTAATCCACCAGTTGTTGAAGCGCCACACTTGCTTCTTGCCGACGTTCTTCCAAGGCTCGGCTCTTTTTCAGGTCCCCCCCCAACGCTTTCGCAAGCTCAGCGGCGTTTCCGTAACCCAGAAAGGGAGTCAACAGGAGACACAATGGCTTCCTTTTTACAGCTGCTAGCACATCGTCCCATCCTTCCTTCTTTATCAGGGGTGACAAAGCATACAAGGTGTCTGTCATGCTCTCTATCAGCTCTTCAGGATCCGAGGGCGAAGCGGTCTCGGCCACGCTAGACGCCGCATTGTTGGCGCTTTTCTCACCTTGTTGCTTTTGTCTTTTGCTATTCAAGATAAAATTATTAGTTTTCGGTTGGGCGCCTTCCTCGCCGTAGTATTCCTGTAATGTGGGCACAGCTGCAATAGACGGGCTAGCCACAAAGGCAAGGATGGCGACTGACGCGACCTGGATGGAGATGGCTCTACTTACACAGTCGTCGTATCTGTTCGATACGGCAGACAGCTTTGTGGCAGAGGAGTGCGATGATACCGCTGGCAATAGAAAAGCAGAGACCGTCTGCCGTGAATAGGCAAATAGTGACACGGAAAGGACTGCGAGCAGGCGGTGCGGGGTTCGACCAATGCCATGAACACCTCTAACGAGCCTTTGTTTCCCCATTCTCCAGCGTCCACGATCGCACCTCTGTTATTATTTAATGGATAAGGTTGTGAGAAGACTTACTCTTACTGTCCAAGCCAGGCGTGAAGAAGCTTTCTTTGGTCGAGCACGGTCATTATTTTCTGGTTTCAGTCCTCGACTGCTGTCGTCGCTCTCGTGCGAGAGGCAGCGAGAAGAAATTTCCCTTCTAGATGCTTCCCGCGAGGAAAATAGCTAACCATGATAGGAGACCGTCACCATGTCTGACATATAGGTCGTTTGAAGGAAGGATATGAACGGCGGCAACCTTGCGGCAGCGGGCAAATTTGTTGCAGCGTTGTACTTGCTGCGGAGAGGGCCGTGAACAGGAACATCGAACTCTTGGGAGCGCTCTCAGTGGACTAATCAATGAAACGCTACCTTGCCATTTGGCATCTTTATCTCACTCTCCTCAATAAATGTACCCACATGCCATCTTCAGTGACATCGAGGGCAACTTCTCTTCGATTGGCACGTCTCTTTCATAAAAGAGGTGTGGAAAGGTACACGTTGGCGAAATAATTGCACAGAGTGGGGAACAGGAAGATAGCATTTGCGGGCTTTAACCTGTCGTAAGACAAAGTACCACAGTCCAAAGCCATACCGACGCCAACCGAACCCAGCAAAGACAACAACAGCAGCAGTACGAAGAGAAAACGGCCGCGCGATTCAACCGGCACCCCTCCCCCAAAGAAAGGAGGACATCGAACAGGAGACGAAACAACACGGACTGGCACGGGAAGCGGAGGGAGCAGTGCAAAAAGCGAACAGAGCATGGGTAAGGACTACTACCAAGTTCTTGGTGTCAGCCGAGGAGCAGATGACAAGGAAATCAAGAAGGCGTATCGCAAGGAAGGTAGGGACGAGGGAGGGAAGGGAGGAGCAACAGATTACTGTTTGTTACGTTGAACGCCACGTGAAAGGTAAGGAGGGATATGCGTACGGATGAGATTGAAGAGTTCACCCTGAGGGAACAGTGGTGGAGTGTGGGGACCGCATTACACTCTCTTTTGGTGTGGGAACACGGTGGATCGACGGGGAAGCTGCCCCTTTCCTCACTCTCACTCTCCTTGCAAAAATGCCCTCCTTTGAAAGCCCTGCGATGGCATCCTGACAAGAATCCCGACAACCAAGAACAAGCCCAAGCCAAATTTCAGGACATCTCCCAGGCCTTCGAGGTGCTCTCCGACCCGGAGAAAAAGAAGGTGAGGGGGAAATGGGAAAGGAGGGAGGCGGGGAGGGAGGGAGGGACGGAGGGAAAGGAGGAAG